GTAGTTAAGTGTACAATAATACTATATTTTATTATTATTATCAATAAAGGTTTATATTAAATATCTAAGTTTTCGAGTAAAACAGTGTGAAAACCAATTGTACAGTTATCGCTATGGCGTCTAGAAGGAGAATTAAGTTTACCTAATTGGATTCCATTTGTAACATTTCTTTATTTAATTAGACTAACAATTTTCCACGTCAATGAACTGGAAAATACATTTGAATGGATTTTAATATATTTATATTAGATCAAGATATCATATAATATATAGAAAGCGGTTTTATTTAGCGGTATTAGGAGATGGCATGGGGTTTCGGAGTCCATGTTTTATAATAGAGCAATTTCTCAAACATGAGATCCATAAGAGAACATAAAGGCAAGGCACAGCTGTCCATTTCTTTGTTCATATTAATCAAGAAACAAATTTTCAATTCTTACCGAAAATCCAATGTGAAAAACAGGTATATAATGTTTTATAATTAAACGTTTTGGGGAAAAGTATTAAATAGTAATATTAACATCAAATTGAAAAACTTTGTGTAACCAGCGTCTTATCGGTTAAGCAATCTCTTCCAGGCAACCCTACTTAAGAAAACAGTAAAAACAAGAAGTGCTACATACAATAAAGACTAGTAATAAGTAATAAACTTACCAAAACAGAGAAAAAACAAATGCAAAGATAAAATGATAAATGAAATATAGTAAAGTCATTTGGAATTCAGTAAATATTCTATATTCTATAAGACCTAAAGAGGAAAAAGAGGTGAAAATTTCTGGCTATTACGCATACAAATTCTCCAGTTGAATAAATCACCTTTAAAACGGTGTGTAAGCACGTGACCACAAGGCCGTGGAGTAGTTTATAAAATATCTTCAATAAACACATCGCTAAATTAAACTATGACGCAACTAAGTGGATTATTTTCAGACTATTTTGTAAGGCCATGAACATTCGTACTACTGTGATAGTCAGTATGACTGAATGATGGAATGGAATTTGGAACGCTTAAAGCGCCCTAATGATGTCACCTTACAACGAAATACAATATTTTGAGTTCTTTTCCAGAGGTCTGCCAAATGCCTTAAAATGAATAAATTCAAAATTTTAATATAAACTGCGCTCCGACCGATATCAATTCTCAAGAGCTCAGTCCTTACTATTTAACCGCCGTAGGTATCGATTTGGATAAAAAATATAAATATTCTATTAAAAAATGTAAATTGCCTAGTCTAGTCTCGTTCAATAAGCCTTAGAAATGGGCCAAGTGGTCAAAGAACTTGACGAGGCCAACGGATCGATAGTGATAACTATGTTGAGGTGCGATTATGCTAAAGTACTCGGGCTGTATTTCTCGTGTCCTTAAGGAGTCTAACGTTTGAATAAATTTACTAAAGAGCATACATTTTTTTTCTCTAAATAGTCTTGGCATCGAGAGAGCGAAGGAATTTAAATATCTGGCATATGCTATTTGAAAACCTAAAAGATAATATCGATATTGAACGGGAACGCAGGGCAATGGCGACCAGAGGTAATATGTTGGTTCGTAGATTTTCTCGTTGTAGTAAACAAGTGAAAAGCATTTTGTCAAAACTTTTACACGAGTAGTCTATGGTTCGACTATACTGTCGGGTCGCCAACTGCGACCCGACAGTATAGTCGGGTATATATCCATCCTTATTTTAGTATATAATAATATACTAAAATAAGGATGGATTATTTTATCTGAACAAATAAAATAAAGAAATAATTAGAATACATATAATACATGTCGCAATAATTTTAGGTCTTATTTTTTTTATCATGATAGTATTTGCCTTTGACCAGTGCAGTGAATTCACAAATGAAACTTTCTATGTGCACAATGAACTCGCTCGTACGGTGAAGGAAAATCACCGTCATTGACACAACGAAGACCCAAGCCGAGCCCGATTAGCCAGCAGATCAAGCGACGCAAATGGATAGGCCATAAACTCCGAAGGAATCCCAATCATATTCCCAAGCAAGCGCTTGATAACAAGGAAAACGGAAGTGTGGCTGGCCCCCGTACAGTTGCAGAGGCAAAGAGAGCCGGAAAGACTTGGAGCCAGGTGAACTACGAGGTTCAAGACCGAACGCGATGGAGACTCACTGTGGACGCCCTCTGCCCCATCTAGGGGTTATAGGACATTAAGTCAAGACCCAAGCCGACGGTAGGTATGTCAGACAAAGAAGCCCAATCACCTCGTCTTATAAGAAGAAATAAACAAAACTGATACATAAATCTCAGACCAAGACCTGGAGGACCTGGCGCAGTACGAAGAACTCTTATTACGACCGCTACGCGGGTGGAACCGCACAGCAGCTAGTGCCGATACAATAGTGTGATAATACAATCAAAATTATTGAATTTTGTGTGTCTGCGTCACGCGCCGATTTTGGTAAACAAATCGTCCAAAGTACATTCGAACGCTTTATTGTATTATTAGAATATTACTTTATAATTGTCGGTGAACCGCGGAAATAATTGATTTACCAATACGATGAATTGTTTATGTAGTACGTTACATGGATTTAAACGACCCAGATACGTGTCGATTTATATTAAAAATGCATCGTCAAATTATACATTTCCATTCTTCACCAAAAGTTTGTTGACCTGGTTGAAATAACTTTGACCGCAAGTCTTGTATTTAAACTACGAAAACTAAAATCATGAAAGAAATACTAAACTAAATGGAATCGTGTTGAAAATTATCGAAAAGAAATACGTCGTTCCACAACTGAGCGTTTGATACGTTTGAGCGAGGTGTGGTTGTGTGTTCTGCCTTGACGTCCGATAATGAAACACTGCATGTATTAGTTCGAACAACTCTTCTGAACACTCCATGGTAAATGCGGTAGAAGATGCAGAGTGACCCCAAATCTCTACGCAATGCCAAAGGATCAAGCCGCATGGAAAGTGACGTTGACGATTCTCAGTCTCAAATAATAAAAGAAAATATTTTAAAGTATTTAGTGTATGAAAATTTTTCTTATTCAATAGTTTAATTATAAAATGTAAGTGTTATGTAGCGATTATTGTCAATTACCGTTAACATGTGAAAAGGAAAAGACTGGCTGCAGGGATATTTTTTCTTTCTTATATGTTCTCAAAGCAGTAATGATCGACAGTTGTGTCGCATTGGCTATTAGATGTTACGGTATTTGTATTGTTATAATTAAATTTAATAATTTGACAGCTTACCAATCGAACGAGCCGATAAGATTATTAAATTAGAGGGTTGCGAGATAATTGAATCCCTAACCCAATTAATAATGTAATTAACTACTCCCTTATATTACCCAGACGATGAAAAGGTGAAGATTACCTTTAACCTTTCCCTAGCTTTAACAACTAAAAATTGTATATGTATATTGTATGTTTAACTTCTTAGTAAAAATACTTTTATATCACACCATTCATCTAACAACACAGGTGTTTTTAGTGAAAACGCTAAATAGGGTAGGGCGGGGCTAGTTGAGCAATTTTTCACTTGCTTGGATATAGCTCCTCAATGATAAGTCTCAATGAGTTGTTATGTGTCCTGATGGCTTAGTAATTTATCCCTTAACAAAAGTGTCCATAGTATTTTTTGTAACAAGTCCAATATAATAGCTACAGATGTTTAAATGCAGAAAATCAAGTATGCTCAATGTACCCCATAGGTGGGGTAAGTTGAGCAAGGGTATGGGGCAAGTTGAGCACTAAGAATGTCTGGGCCAAACCATGGGTTCTATGTTAACGTGAGATGAAGTAAAATATGTGTTAGACAGTCAGCTTTTTATTTATAGTCTTTTATTGACAGAACAACAAAACTTAAATAAATTTTCTTTGTATAATTACCCGAAACTAGAATCAACAAAACATGAGCATCCATATCTATCCATTACTTCCGATAATTTAAAAAAGATTACCAAGGCTGGTGGGTTCGGGTTTTTGTATGGATAGCTACGATTTTTTTGTTTTAAAAACATCATCAACCATTATTTTCCGGCCATCTTATTTGCAATTCAGCTGGGTGGAATTTCAATGTCAAATTTAGCAGCACACTCTTAGGCAAGGCGACGGTCGTCTTTTGGAGAAAAATTCCATTTGTAGCAAGTATTTTTTCAAACAGTCCTCCTGTGAGGGAGGATATACTTCCCTCGGCCCATAAATGAACCATCACCTTCATTTAATTTATTTAAAAGTCAACCCATACCGAATTCTTTAGCGGCGGTATTCACACTTTTTCCCTCATCGTGGACAGCCTTTGCAGCATTATTTAAGTATTCAGTAGTGTAAGAACATCTCCTCCTCTTGTAAGCATCCAAACAAAAATAAAAGATTCATTACTCATCAGTTGTTTAACTCGTGGAGTTAGTTGAGCTATAGTTGCTCAACTTACCCCAACCCGGAATTTTAAAAGAATAGTTGGATTGTAAAAAAATGCCTAGAATTAGAACCAAATCCTATTTACAAATCAAACATACATTAATCTTCTGGAAGATTAACACTGTCCTAATTGAAAACAGAGAACATTAGACAAAGACAGACGAAAACTTGCGATAAACAATGTTTTTACTTTTTGGTCACAAAATAAACAAAACGCCGTGACACTTCACTCACTCGTCGAGCTGCCACTAGCTATCGTGCGATGATTACCCCACCTACGACTCCTTCTTTTCGCTATTTGATACTCCCGCGTAAGGTGAATAGTTTCCGAGATATTTCGATTGCCCAACTTGCCTCTATGCTCAACTAGCCCCGCTCTACCCTACTAAATTGAGTTTCATATCACTTTCTGTCTCTGATGGAAAACATCGTGAGGAAACCGGCATACCTTATCAAAACAGTCGACTGTGTGTGTCAGGCGCAGAAGTTTGATCACCTACTTGTCAATTAGAAATGATTACCAAACAGATACAGAAATCTGAGGTCCAGGCCTAAGCGCGCCATTGGTATAATATCAACATTGCCATTATTACAGAACATGTTATTAGTATATTGCTGGACATACCTGGTCAGGACTCAAAGAGCTGTCTCCACTAGCATTTCTCTCTTGGTTCTGCGCTGTTCTCTCCTGTTTGCACGCCGTGTGGTACTCCATCCGCGCCCTCTCTACCTTTTGCAAGAATTTCGCCCAGGGCTTCTGTGCTTTTTTGAATGCCTCGTCCATTTCTTTACGTTCTTTAAGCTGAATCATTGACTGTGGACAACAAGTTATCGTTAAATAATATTTTGGAAGATATGCTTAAATAGTTAAACTAATTCCTATACAGCTAAACTAATCCTAAATTTTTAAGTTCACTTTATTTGAATTATACGAAGTATCATATTCCCAAAAAAGTAAATCAGATTCCATTATACATTCTGGAACGTCCATATCTACGACCGTAAAGGTTTTACAGTTTTGGCAGGAATAATGTGGGCTGATAGCAGTAATATGTTTGATATGGTGAGGGTGGGACCAAATAGGTAGTGTCGGGTGACATTAGATTTGCATTTCATTTGCAATGTTGTGTAAATTATCTTATTTCGAAGTCATACTTTGAGTCTCGGAGTGATTTGGAAGAAATGATCTTTTAATAAGTCGAGTTAAAAATATAAGTAATACATCCAATTTCGGGAACGCAGTAGAGACGTTCACAAATGACCTGAGTAACTATATCATAATTAAGCGCGTACCATAATTAAATGGTGTCTTATATCTTATTTCCGCAGGATCAGCAAGTCAATTTAAATAGAAACACTACACCGTTATTACATGGAATAATGTTGAGAGGAAATTCGAATATTACATGCACTTGTTTGCTCATTGCAAGGCCGTACATGACAGGATGACATCGATACTTATTTACTTACGTCACTGTTATATAAGCGGAGGTTATAATCAATGTAAACATAGGAAGCAACTATTTGAGAATTACAATAACTATGTAAAGTTTATATGGAAGGCTCTCATTACTATATATTTTACTTTTTTATTTATTTGTTAGTAATCTTACAGCTAAGGGGCCGTTCAAGTATTACGTAAGCACTATAGGTCTTTAATTATCTTATGTGGTGATTACGTCAAGAGTAATTATTTACTTTTTTACACTTTTGCAGAAAAGAGGAAGGGGAGGGGGATAAATTTCTCTGTTTACGTAATACTTAAACGGCCCCTTAAACATAAATATTGTAAAACAAAACACTTCTAATATATAAAGCCACATCATATTACATAGATTAACAATAGACACAAATAAATAAAATTTAACTGAAATTTAACATTAAACAAACGACAATTAACACATAATATTTCAAAGAAAAAACTAAATCATTACTGCTAAACAAAGTCAAAGTTTTCCGCCTCTTCAAATATTTCCTTACAACCTCTTTGGTGAGTTAAAAAATATCAACATCGTCATAATTAGTGTCATAGATAGATAAAACTCGAAACATTAGCGAGTTATATATTTTGATTTAGGTACGTACTTATCTTAGTTTGCATAAGCCTCCCTAAGGACCGTTCCAAGAATTTTAGATTAGGAGTCCTAATGTACCGCAGATCTAAAATAATTAATAAAACCTTATTATAATCTGTGCTCCGACCGGGAAACGAGTCCCTTATGAAACATCTTACCCACGAGGCTGATCCTATTGTATAATATTGCCATAGTCATTTTGTATGATGATTTGATATTTTAAAAGAGTACCTACCGAGAGTTTATAACGCCGGCTTTTTCTCTCGGCCTACTATCTGTCTTCTTTGCCGAATTTTTGACTTTGTCTACCGATACAAATTTAATGACGTGGAATAAGTGATACCTGTATCTTATATTTCATAATAAACATTTTATATTTTATAAAAAGCAGTTTCCCTATAAAACCAAAGTTTAATTAAATCCTCCTAACTGAAACAAGTCTTGAGTCACACGATTTTAAGCTATCAGTAATCGAATTTAATTTGTAAATCGTCAAAATGGAAGAACGACTTTATTTAACAGTAGTAACAATTTATTTCTCTGTAAAATTTAAGTTGTAGTTTCTTAAAATTCAGTTTTTTTTTTCTATTGTATATATATATTATAAGATAACTTATACAAATAATTTAACTTTAAACTTTATTAGTTTATACAACAGGAGGTAAACGGGATGGCGGCCCATGGACTATGTGGAATCAGCTGCCCACTGAAGTATTTCCGAACCAATTCGACTTAGGGTCCTTCAAGAAAAGAGCGTACCAATTCTTAAAAGGCCGGCAACGCACTCGCGAGCCCTCTGGCATTGAGAGTGTCCATGGGCGGCGGTATCACTTAACATCAGGTGAGCCTCCTGCCCGTTTGCCCCCCGTTCTATAAAAAAAAAAAATGGACATTCAATGCCAGAGGGCTCGCGTATGCGTTGCCGGCCTTATAATATAACTTATACTTTTCGTATGAAGTGAAACTACGATTCCATTGTACCAATGCAACAGCTCCTACGAGTGAGGTCGAATGCATTATGAGATGTCAACGATATTCGTGTCAGGTGTTACACAAGGAATCAATATGGAACCTGCTTAGCGGTGACTTCATCAGTTCTTTCACTTATAGAAATTTACTTGGAACGTGTTGATATCAAAATACGATAATCTTGATAAATACTGATTGAAACGTTTGATAGTAAAATTTCGTAATTTAGAAAAAAATAATTCAAAGTAAATTTACTAAAAGTTTCAAACATTTACAAAAGGAAAAAATCAAATAAAATAATTAAATACGTAATACTTAATTCGGCTGTGCTGTATGTAGGGTATGCTCGTGATTCAAGTGATTTTGCGCTATATATTCTTAATATAAATTTTATAATATAATATACAATATTCTTAGTACTCATTTTAGTGTAATAATATAAACATAATGTAATCCTAAATAGTACTCGAATATCTAATATATAAAATTCTCGTGTCGCGGTGTTTGTAGTTAAACTCCTCCGAAACGGCTTGACCGATTCTCATGAAATTTTGTGTGCATATTGGGTATGTCTGAGAATCGGACAACATCTATTTTTCATCCCCCTAAATGTTAAGGATAGTCCACCCCTAAATTATTTTGTTTTAATTTTTAGATATTTTTTTTGTTTTAATTTTTTTATGATACAGCATTAAAAAATACATACAACCCCTAATTTTCACCCCTATTTTTTATTATAAAAGATATACATGGTAAAACGACGTTTGCCCGGTCAGCTAGTAAATACATATACATATATTATGTCGAAAGAACGCAAAAAAGTTTTCTAATAAAGTTGGTTTAAACCAGATTTATACTAAAATTCGATTAACGCTATTTGTAACACGGCATCTCTATTTCGTCTCCTTAATAATTGTTTATGTTACTTTTGGTAGCCGTGGGATTTTCCATGGCTATGGGACGGAGGCTGGTGAAAGAAATGTTGTAAAGCAAGGTCTTGAGGTCGCATTCCCAATGAGGTTTCACCGATTTTATTCATGTCAAGTGTTACATGAGAGTTGCATAATGGTGAAAAATCACATCCGTACTCTTTTGACTAACTTTTGTGAGGCTGTTAACATCATATAAAAAAATTATATCTATAGTACTTATTAAGTGGGCTAAAACGTTTGTATGCTAATATAGAACAAATATTTTTCTTAATAGAATTTAAAATTACGTAACATACTAACGAAACGCACAAAATAATAGTAAAAATAATCAAAAAATAATAAACAAAAACCTATGGAAAGAAATAAAAAAAAAGGAATAAGGTACATTTTAAGTGTGTAATATGTGTGTTGTGGTTGTAGTGTGTTTGTGTTGTTGGCCTTGGCTCATCATTCTGCTAGGGACCACAACAGTTAGAACATTATTGAATATAGTTAGAGCAGTGTTGGCTTCAGCGTGCGACTCACATACCTGAGGTCGTAGGTTCGATCCCCGGCTGTGCACCAATGGACTTTCTTTCTATGAGCGCATTTAACATTTGCTCAAACGATGAAGGAAAACATCGTGAGGAAACGGTCAACAACATGTCATAGACCCAAAAAAGTCGACGGCGCACTGGAGGCTGATCACCTACGTGCCTATTAGATTTAAAAATGATCATGAAACATATTCAGACATCTGAGGCCAATACCTAAAAAGAGGTTGTAGCGCCACCGATTTAATATATATTTTTTTATTGAATATAGTCGCCTTTGAGACCATACAACCATTTTAGCGTTTATACAATTTTTCGATAACATTTTTCCATTTCCAACTCTTCACTATAACAAAATTTCTATCCAGCGAGCATTCTCTTGAGGTCTGAGAACAAGAGAAGGTCGCTGGGGGGCAAATCTGTATTTCAACTATTCCATTGTAAGAATATATGAAAAACCAGAGGTCTAAGATTAATATGTTATTGATATACGGAAAGATATAGAGAAAAATTTACTATTGTATATTTTTCAATTATAACAGTTTGTTTCAACTACGGTTTGAAGAGATCGCTTACTAGAGATATATGTAGCCAGTTGAACCATGTAATTGTTTTTAAGTTGTAATTCTTGTAGGTGCAACAAAAGGTAATGAAATTTCAATCGAACCTGGGACTTTATCTCTTGTGAAGACGACTAGCGTCTAATGTAAAATACGAAAACACTCGACACTGATAAGGTTCTTGAAGATAAGCAAATTGTCACGATTGTGGACGTGCACGATAGCACTATCACGAATCGATGTCTTGAGCACTTCATTTACGTAACATGAGAAATAATGTATTGAAATTCCATTCCAATTATTATATTATTATTTAAAACAAAATAAGTGGCGATACCTTACCAATAGGCAAGAAGGTGATCAGCCTCCTGTGCCTCACACACGCCGTCGACTTTTTGGATCTAAGGCAAGCCGATTTCGTCTCGATGTTTTCCTTCACCGTTTGAGCGAATGTTAAATGCGCACATAGAAAGTCCATTGGTGCACAGCCGGGAATCGAACCTACGACCTCAGAGATGAGAGTCGCACGCTGAAGCCACAAGGCAAGGCAAAGCAAGGTAATTAATCAATTATTTACGAGTAGTATATGTATTGTGTGCGTACATACTTATAAAGTCATAGATATTGTGTTAGATATTAAAAGACATCAAAAATCCCAATGTTTATAGATACAAGTGATTTTTTTAATGCCTTACAGTACCTGTTAATAACGCGTTCATATTAAATAAATATACGTGTGAAATAC